TTGTGGGATGTAACGGTAGTAGACTCCTTAGCTCCTTGTAGGATTAATGCCGGGTCTGTTTGTAACCCTGGTACGGCGGCCATTGCAGCGGAAAAGCAAAAAAATGACAAGTATAAAGACCTTGTAAGTGATGGATATCTTTTTCAACCGCTAGTTTTTGAAATTCAGGGCGAGGGCGGTCCCAACACAGAATTTTTTTGAGAAAGCTTTGTAAGAACCTAAGCATATGCACTGAGGAACCCAGAGCAGGCTACTTTTTAAAGAAGAAGAGAGAAGAAATAAACTTTATTAGTGAATAATACTACATGTAAAAGTGAAATTTTGAGTTTGCGTAATTCAAGCTTTGAGTTAAATTGTTAATGTTCAGGAACGACATGTGTTGCAACGGCATTTGATGAAGAAAGTGCATGGATTTTTGAGATTGAAGGTTGATTGAAGTTGCTGTTTAAGGAAATTGAAGAGTAGAGTCTTGGTTTGTGAGACTGTAGTTGTAGAGTTGATGTCGACTTTTGCTAAAACACTATTGACGCTATGAATTGTTCTTTGGAAAAAGCTCCCAAGGAAACAGAATTTGCGGGTAAGAGGTACACACAAAACCATTCTCTGACTGGATCTGTTACCCGGTCTCGATTCACTAACAGTAACATAGTCATTAATATCGAAGTCGTAACAGTTATGTAACAGTTTGAAGAAGAGAAGACAATCAGTAAAAACAATTTGATAGCAATGAGGCAGTATGTTTAACATCACAAGACTGTCAGTATAATTAGTGGAACCAATTATCCATTTAACTGCCTTTTTCTGGAAATTTTCCAAATCACGTAGCTTTGATAAATTTGGGTACCAAATACAAGAGTTATAAAATAAAATGGACCTCACACAAGAAATGTACATTTGAAGCTTAGTTTTAACAGGTGAGTTGAAAGGAACATTACGCTTTAAATAATGAAAACACTTTGTGGTTTTACCAAGTTTCGCAGAAACATTGGGATTCCAAGACAAATAGGCGAGATATTAATACCCAAGTCTTTGATATGATCAACAGAGCATATTTCTGACCCGTTAAGATAAAGGTTGAAAATAAAGCTATTATTTGAAATGAATTTAGTTTTGTCTGGATGAAAATCAAAACCGTTTTGGGTTGCCCAGGTCTCTACCGAATCTAAATCAGACTGAAAATTGTCTTGACAGTTGTCTCGATAAAGCAGTTTCAGGTCATCAGCAAATAAAGATTGTGAGGAATACTTGACAACATGCGGGAGGTCATTGATATAAATAAGGAATAAAAGTGGTCCTAAAATGCTTCCTTGTGGTACACCGCTGGAGATGTAACCTTTGTAAGATAGAATATTGTTAATACGTACTCTTTGTGAGCGATTGGAAAGATAAGATGAAATTAACATGATAAAATTTTTGTCAAAACCAAAAGAAGACAGCTTGTTCAGCAACTGTTTGTGTGACACAGAGTCAAAAGCCTTTTGAATGTCAAAATATACAGAACAGAAATTTTCATTGGCATCAATACATTTGTAAATATTTTCAACATATTCCAACAATTGTGTAAACGTGCTGCGCTTTTTAACAAAGCCATGCTGTCTACGAGAAAATGTGTGTCGAACATTAGAATAAATGAAATTAAAAAGCAGTTTTTCTAAGCAAAGCGAGAAGCGCGGTAAAATACTAACTCCACGATAATTTGTAATGTCAGATTTTGGCCCGGACTTATGAAAGGGCATGATAAACGCCTCTTTCCAAAAATCGGGCCAAATACAGCAGGTAAAAATTTGACTGATTAGAATATATACCATAGGCGTGAGTGCATCAGCATTTTATTTGAGAACAAATGGTGGAATGCCATCAGCTGCAACTGTTGTGGTATCTGATACCTTTTTAAGTAAACTATTTACATCACTTTCACCAAGCGATAATTCGCGCAAGTTAATGGAAGTATTATCAGAACAACCGTTATACGTAAACGTTTCGCTTTTGTACACAGAACAGAAAAAGTTTTTAAACAAATCGGCTTTGGTGTTATCAGTAGAAGCACATGAGGCTCCCAATTTAATAACAGAAGGAATTGGTGAGCTGCCAGAAAGTTTGTGAAGTAACTTGAAACAGTCGTTAGTATCAAGTGAATGAAAAGAAGACAGTAATGTAATTTTGTCTAGCTCGATCAAGTTATTCAAATCTCGTTGAAGATCAGACAACAATGTCGAATAGAGCAAATTGAGTTTCGCCAATTTACGCGTCTCAGTAGAGACTTTGTTACTGAGATGTACGGAATGGCTAGAAAAATAGAATGGTAACATAGATCTTTTCTTGCGTTTCAGGCAAATAGAAGTCTGAACCGGCTTTATCATGGCATCATACCACGCAAGATAAAAATCAGTGGGAATCATTTGAAAATAAACTTGGAAAAGGCAATCAAATATAACTAAAGAATTCATGAAAACATCGATGTTAAAAGTGTTTTTAGAATAAATTGGATCGTCATTAGGTAAATCAGAAGTGACGCTTTCAGAAGTAGACACATGGAAAATAACTGTAACAGGATAATGATCGGATGTAAAATGGTCTGGTTCCACATTCACTGAGCACAGCTCAGGTTGATTTGTAACAAAAATATCTAGCGTGTTGCCGCTAATATGCGTCGGCTCACTCACTAGTTGGACACAATTCAATGAATCGAAATTTTCGATCACGGCCTGTGAACTAGCGGTAGTGGCAGAGTGAGATATCCAACACGCGTCTGGCATATTGAAATCACCAAAAATAGAAGTAATACCACCGGGAAAATCATGCAGAAACTTTGAAGTGTATAACTCCAGACACTGAGATAAATGAGTGGATGATACTCTATAATTTGATGTGGCGGGGGGATTATAAACCGATAAGATAAGGATTTGAGGATCTGTACTTATGACAGTGCCGCAAGCAAAATCAAAATCAGGTAAAGTGCCGTCCCAAGCCGCCAGGTTCAAACCATCACGCACAAGTATTGCAAATCCGCCGTGATTGCCATTTTTTCGGGCAGCTTGTGAATTTGTGTAATAACCTGTATCAGGTAAAATAATTGTGTCATTGGAGCTTAATTAAGTTTCGCATAAACACAAAACATCAGGAGACATGATATGTAAAAGTTTGATAACGGATAAACGTTTGTCAAGGCTGACCAAACTACGAGCATTCCAAGATACAACTGTTCCACTGGTCAGTCATGCAGTAATATCGACGAAAATGTCTTTGTGAAAGAGTTGTAAATTCCGAATTTTTAGATCTTGCTTTGGAGTTCCGCTATTTATTAATTCCCAGCGTTTCTTGAAAATTAGTTTTTCCAAGGCAAGTTCATCACTTGTTAGAGACTTCGATATAAACACTGGTGTGCGAAATTCTTTGAGAAGTTGTGCTTTTCTCAGAACTTTGCTAGCAGTCCATTCATTGGAAAATTTCACCAAAACAGACCGAGGTCGTGTATTAGTGGATTAGAATTGACCCAAACGCTTAATTGAGGATACATTATATCAATCCCACTCATTCAAATGCTTAAGTACATGAGATACAAGGTTTTCATCATACTCCATCCTTTTCAACTGTGTATTATCAGTTGGTTCAGGAAGGTTCTGAATGCGAATTTCAAGTTTGCGTTCAAGTTTTTCAGTAGATACACTTGACTGAGTGTTAACAGCTGGTAAAATAGTAGATAAGTTGTCCTTCACTAATTTATCAACAGTATTAGGTAACTCTGAAAGAGCTTCCTTGATAGCATGTTGAACAGTAACATGAGAAACAGGTAAAGCTTTCTTTGATAAACAAATATTGCATCTGAATAACAGCAACTTAGCTTTTGTAACATTCGCTCAAATACTACACAGCGACGGAGCGTAGAAAAAAAACCTATTAACGACTGGCAGGCGTCAGTTACCTTAATCCTACTCGTTTTTCACCGTCTCGACCTTGCCAGTTGATTTTTTGGTCTGTTTAGGGCTAAGTAAAAAGATACAATTTTTAGGCCATCAGTCCAAAGACTTTTGATCAGCTTTCGTTTACATGCGAACACAACCACATAGCTGAGTCTCGGATCCTCAGACTACGTGATTGCTATTAAAAACACGGCTCGAATACCCTATTCTAATATGTTTTTGGTGAGAGTTCTATATTAAATCCATTGGAGATGGGTTGACCATTTCCTCTTCCTGGCTACTCATATTCTAAAATATCAAATATTACCGGTGTTATTTCAAAGTTCTATGGCATCAGAGTAGCTAAAAAGTTAGTTTACTTCAGTCCTTCAACATACGACAGTCTCTGGGGGGCCAAGCCTCCGCTCCCGTGTTCTTCTCGAGATAACGTTGTTATCTCTCCCAATTTGTGGCACGGGAGGGTTCCGCGGAATATTCCTTCCCCACTGAAGCCTCCTTTCTCGCTGTTTCTCTCTGCTATTGGTCTTATCGTGTG